TTTTTGCTTGGAATGGCAAGATTGGCAGCAATTCATAATTGTTGAACTATCAGAACACTTGAGCAAGACCCTTGGAGCATGCCTCACATTGGGGACCTGGGATGGATGGGAGACTGGGTGGGGCTTCTCCCTTTGTCTCTCCCTTTACCCCAGACATAGAAAAAAATCTGTGGAAATAGCAGTCCCACCCACTTTACTGTAGCCCTTGAACCTTTGACCCTAATTAACTATGTAAAGATTGTAATAAATAAATAAAGGTAGCCTGCTATATTCATTATATTTTAAGAAAGCCTACTCAGACTAGATAGATACCCAAAGTGTTGTATTCTGTTAAAATGCCATGACACTTTGTTATTTTTTTTCTTCACTGAAGTTCTTACTTGTAGTTTAGGACTTGTACTACCACTGCAGCTTTGGCTTTTAGAAGTTGGGAGAAAATTCCTGAGAAGGAAATACTGTACCACAAGAAGGGAGCTGCTTATAACAAAATTTTGATGTTGGAAAAATATAGAAATTGGATAGAATTTGTGAAAGTTCATTATTTTACCTGTCTATATATAGTGGACTTAGCACAGGAAAACCTGTGAATCATAAGGAATTACCGAAGAAGAGTACCGCTCCTCTGGAGTAAAAGTGTGTGGTAGCTGGGACTGATCCATCACGTAGTATGCTCAGCTTCTCAATGAATGCTGGTAAAAGGATGACTCAAATGCTTGGGCCCCTGCACCCACGTGGAAGACCTAGAAGAAGCTCCCTTTATCTCTGCAACTCTTCCTTTCAAGTAAAAATAAAATAGATCTTTAAAAGCTATGTGGTTGTGATTCCATTGTCATCAGAAGCCCCCTAGTGTTTGAAATAGAGTACATGTTTTCTAGTTAGAATTTTCTAACTCAAGAAGTTTGTCATACTTAGTACATAGGCAGCCTAACAATATTCCACATTGAATGTGCAGTTTCTTTATGCAGAGAAGAAATGAAAATGTTTAGTTATTTAATGATGCATAAAATAATTCAATGTGTTATTGTAGTGTTATTGTAGTATACCATTTTCTTGCTCATTTTTAAATGCATTTTTTGCATTTATTATATATGGCTCTAAGCATACATTCCTTTAGTCTTTCACTACCATTTTAAATATGCAATTGCTAAGTGCTAGGCAAAAACATGGAGAATTCTTAGCCTGGAGGAGTTCAGAGACTGAGTAGAGGGAATCATGTATTGTCACTATAATCTGAGCAAGTACAAAGGCAGAAACCCTTGATTTTGAGCTACTGCTTTCTTGAAAGGTTTCAAATGAGAAATAACCCTTAGGGTTAACTTTGGTCATGGAACGAAATTCACCACTATTTATTTGTATTGGAAAGTCAGATAGAGGGAGAGAAAGAGGGAAAGATCTTCCGTCTTATGATCCACTCTCCAAGTGGCTGCAGTGGCCAGAGCTGAGCCAATCCCAAGCCAGTAGCCAGGAGCTTCTTCCTAGTCTCCTATACTAGTGCAGGGTCCCCAGGCTTTGGGCTGTCCTCAACTGTCCCATAAGCTGGGAGCTGGATGGGAATTCTGGCCGCCTGGTTTAGAACTGGCACCCACATGGGATCCCAGCACATACTAGGTGAGGACTTTAGCTAGCCTCTATGTTACCATGCTGGGCGTGGTATTCACCACATTTAAGAGAGGAGAATGACTGAGTATTTGTGAAATCAAGGACTGATGAGTTTATCATTACAATTTAAGATTCTGAATGCTGAGGCTAGTAAGATTTGATTTAACTAGGAAAAAGAGGCTAAAGCTTAGAGCAGTGGCTACATCACATTAGCTTATAGGCTGTTGGAAGCCCTTGCCACATTTTGAGCGGAGGAGTAGCGTATTTCTGACTGCTTCTATTTCCACTTGGCTTTAAATAGAGCTGCAGCTCTGTCATTGATGTTTGGCGACCTCTGGTGTTGATCTTTTAAAAAGAAGAGCAAAGCAGCAAAAGAAGTGCATTTTATAACTTTGACCATTTTATTCTCCTGAAGAAATTTATTTATAATTCCTATTTTATACTTCTCAGTGTCTGGATAAATGTGAAGTTAGAAGAGAAATTTTCCCATTTTTTAAAAAGATTTATTTATTTGAAAGGCAGAGAGAGAAAGAGATTGAGATCTCACATAGCCTCAGTTATCTGTTATTAGAATGCACGACCTTACTAACTAGCAAAATGCACTTTTTCTACATGGCCCACTGAAAATTCTAGAACACAATGAGTTTCTAGAAATGAGTGGGCTGGAGACAGAACTGACCCAGCAATTGCAACTACCAGTGTGTGTGTGTAGGCCTATTTGGGTGACAGACTGTCGGACCCTGTATTAGCAAACACACGCAAGAATAAGATCTGGGATGACCTCAGATGAGGTTTCTTGGGCGATTCCCTACCAACTGAACTGCTGGACTCAGAACCCTAACCATGAAGAGAATTGCAGGTTCCGTGGGCTGACTGTAAGAGTGGATATGTCAGAGCTGAGCCTCTTCAGTTGCTCAGACGGAGCAGAGGACAGCATATTCGAATGTATATGGAGGATATGGCAGTACATCAGAGCCTCCAGAAGACACCTGGTACCACAAAAGAGGACGCAGGACAGAACAAATTAATCAACTACCCCAGCCAACCATTTGCAGTGAAGATCTGGGCAGATGGAAACACTATGGTGGACTATAGCAGCCAGTGGATTCAGGAGAGATTTCATCGTTCATGGAATGGCGGGTTCACCAGCAATTCAGGACTGTTGAACTATCAAAACCTCGTGAAAAATTTATGGAGTTGTAAATTTCTAATTTTCTTTCTGTTGTTGATTTTGTATTGTGGCTTTTCATTTAAGAGGGATATGTGGTGACTGTGTAAATGGAGACTATCATGTCCAGATGTGAGCATGCAGTGCAGTGTGCATCTCTACTTCCAGATCAAAGATGGACTAATGAAACTGTTAGCTGTATTTTCACAATGGGAGGCTGGACTCTGCCCGCAATGATGAACATGTGACTATGAAGAGCTATGCTATAGTAACAATATAGGGGAATTCGGTGGTGGGGAGGGGCAGGGGAAATTCCAGGGCGTATGGAACTGTGTCATAGAATGATGATAATAATTTTTTAAAAGTTAAAAGAAAAAAAGTGGAAACATGGAAACTAAATCTGGTGCTCATATTGGATGCTGGTGCTGCAGGTGGAAGCCTAACTTGCTACACCATGGGGCTTGCCCCTGTTTATTTTCATTCATTTAAGACACAGAGATAAAGAATGTCAGAGATTCTCTATCCTCAAATTCCTGCAGAGAGCCAGGGATGGGTCTGGCCAAAGCCAGGGAGCTGGAATGCATTTCAGATCTACAATTGAGCCATGACCGGCTACCTCCCAGGGTTCACATTAGCAAGAAGTTGGAGTCGAAAGTGGAGGCAGGACTTGAATCCGGGCACTCCAAATGCCCATTCTGATGTATTTATTATATATTGAAGGAGGATCCTAGGTATATATAAATAGTTTTAATTATAAATATTGAACTTTAGTGATATGCATGCTAAGGTATCCTGATATCTGTTCACAACAATATGGTGAACTAATACATGTTACAGAATTGGATATGTGTTGATCCAAATATAATTAAATATCAATTTTAGAATTTGGTTTTGTAGCCATATTTGTGGCTTTAGTTAGCATTTTTCTAATGATTCATCATGTTGAGCATTGTTTCATATGTTTCTTTGCTGTATCTCTTTGTTGAGGTGGCCCTGTTTTCCAATTTATTTTTAATTGCTTGGCTACTTATTCAATAATGAGTTATTTATATATTTTGGATACATGCCTTTTGCCCAATGTTTTGCAAAACAATTACTTTTAGTTCATGACTTCCCTTTTCATTTTCTTAATAGTGTCTTTTGAGAAACTATTTAAAATTTTTATGAAGTTCTGACAGTTTTACTGTAGTGTATAGAATTAGAACCAGTAAAAAAGAAAATTCACTTTATCCTGAATAATAAGTGGATTATGCCTGATCATTTACTGGCTTGTACCACAGGTACTTATTGAATTCTTTGCCTTCTGTACAACTGTTCTTGATCTGTAAATGACTTACTCTTTTACTATGCAAATGCCTTTATAGCAGATCCTAGAATTATAAAGATGAGTAATTATTGGCATCTCTCTTCAAAGTGCTTTTAGTATTTAATGTTTCTTTCTACCATCTGCGTTGTGCAGCCAAGTTCATCTACTTTTCATTGTCCGTCACCTGATGTATCTCTGGAGGCAGTATCTTTTTGTCTTATATTTAAGCTTTATCAGCACAGAAATGTAAAAATCATTGGAGCACGAAATGTTTGGGTTTTTTCTTTTAAATCTTTCATAGATCATAGCATAGTTTGCTGTATACTTGGGGCCCTCATTAAATAGTGATGAATGAAATCACTAATGACATTGTTTGAGGCAGCTTCTCCTGATGAGTTTATTAATAAAACCTTTCACTGTACCTTGCTAAGTGATTAGAAGACATTGTCATTTCAGATGTAATTCATTTCAAATGTTCATTGAAGAGTGCAGTAGCTTACTTTTGTAGTTAAAACAATGCCTGATTTTTATCTGAATGTTTTGGGTTGGTTAATTTTTTTAAAAACCTACTTGAAAATAACCCACATGTTTTGTACCATACTACAGTACCATGAGACTATCTTTAACTTCGTTTTTCCTCTTTTACAATCACTAATACCAGTGTTCTGATATGATGTGAGAAGTTACATAAATATTTTTGAATAAATTTTTTATGATCCACATTTTACGCTGTTGTCAAAGAAGTGTGTGGTTAAGTACAGCATGGCATCTGTAATCAGGTATACATGAGATACTTCCACAAAGTCTAATTACTTTATTTAACTTTAGAATTCCTTTCTTAAGTACAACAAGTATATTGTAAAACATGAGACTAAATACATAAATATGTGACCAAAGTTGGTAATAATTTTTTTTTTTTTTATCTAGGTCCTGGGAACACCAACGAGGGAGCAAATTAGAGAAATGAACCCAAACTACACTGAATTCAAATTTCCTCAAATTAAGGCACATCCTTGGACTAAGGTGAGTAAAAAGAATGGGCAATGACCAGTTCTTAACTAAAATTTAAGTTTGTCCTTGTTCTTAAACTAGACTCTTTGAGATCAGATGGCTGCTTGAGTACAAGTACCCAGGAGTTTGACATGTGAAGATAGTCGAGCAGTTGTCCATCAGTGCTTCATTGTACCGTTTCTTGATGGTTGCTTTCCTATGGACAGTTTCCAACCTGAGTTTTTATTTGTAAGGTAAAGTCAGTGTACCAGTATTAATAAAATATAGGCACAGGGTCTTTAAATGCAGAATTTGATTTATACAAAGAGAGGTTTGTGATTCATTATCATATAACATATATTTTGTATATTTTCTTAAAATATTGCTTCTTATGTGTACTTTGCTGTTTGTGTTTTGGGTGGAGGGCAGGATGAAGGAGCAGATTGCTGGAAGTATACTTGGAAAGGAATTGCTGTGTCACTATCCTTTGGTAAAACTGATCTAGATAGTAGATATAATTTTAAAGAACACAATTACTGATTGACCAGAAGATTGTTTTTCTCTTTGACAGTTATTCAGATGATTAAGAAAGATATTTTTAAAAAGTTTTTTTTCACCTCAGCTTCATTTATGAGATTTAAATAAACAAAAAAAGTACAATCTCTGAGTAGAGTTTATAGCTAGTATGACTTTCTAGCTTGTTCATTTTACAGGTGCAGAAGCTCTTCCAAAAATACCAAATGACTTACCCAAGGTTATATAGATGGCTTGTAACAAGGGCAAGATTGACATGCCTACTATTGTCATGTGTGTGTTTAACACCAAACTTTTCCTAATATGCCATTTATTCCTTTTCCTATTTAATTATATCCCAGTATATATTTTTCATGGGTTAGAAATGGTTGACTTCTCTATTATAAATTTCAAGTAAAGGCTCTATATTTAATATATACATAAAACAATTTTAGTGCATTGGTCAAATTATTAAATTGGTAAGAGATCATTTGTAAGAGATGAAGTAGTGTTGTAGGTGAATTAGTTAACATTAGCTAGAATCAGAGTGTTATCATTCCCGTTCCCTCCCCTAACCCCTTACTGTCACGATTGTTTTATAATTATAGTTCCATTCCTTCAAATTCTCACATCTATTACCTCTCAATCATTTATCTTCTGTTTTGATTTGAAGAACTCAGGGTATTATTTATTTGAAATCGTAGAGCTACGCAAAGAGAGAAGGAAGGAGGAAGGGAAAGAATATTCTATCCTCTGATCCATTCCCTAAATGGCTACCAAAGCCAGAGCTGTGCAGGCCAAAACCAGGAGGCTGAGATAAAGTGTTATTTGATCTTTGTACATAAATTTTATTTTGAATCTTGAGTCGGAAGATATTTAGGAGTTCTTACCTGACTAAGCGGAGAAATTTCCCTAGTAGTCTATTTGGATGTAGGTACTAAGTAACTATTTGAATTCATGAAAGTTACTCTTAGATAAAGTGACTATAAATGATTTGTGGTATACTATTATTTCAAGCAAGTTAAAGGAAAGACAACAATAGAGTTCTATGTGTTGCATGAATATGGGGAAATATTCTAAAGTGCCAGTAGATTTAATTGAGGATGGTGATATGATTTGCTTTACATCTTCATATTTTTTTATTTTTGTTGTCATGTATATTTAATCTTTGTTATGCCCAAAATATTTATCATCACATTAATGACAAATGCTGAAAAATGTAGTCTGCTTTTTTATTTCACATCAGCTCTGTTACCAGTGTAGAGCACATCATTCCTCCCACTCCCCGCCTCCCCATCCAGGATTATCTCATATGCGAGTGTCAGGAAAAATGCAAGAAATAATTGATTATAATTGCAATATGGCTAATGGAAGGGCTATGATAAATATATATTTAAAAACCTTCCTTTGCCTTCTTGGAGTCCTGATATTTACCTTACACTAATGTAATGTTTTTTCAAACTTGAATAATATCTAAAAAGCCTTTTTTTTTTTTTAAGATTTCTATTCCTATACTACGTGAAGAATAATTACTCATTTCTCCCTTTTTCTTTTTTAATGTGGGTTGAAATTACTGTTAAGCCTTCTATTCAAATACTGTCCTTTGACATAATTTGGTTTTTACTTCAAACAGATGCATTGTGTTAGTAAGTAGGTTTACAGTAATTTCTGATCAATACAAATATCCCCACTGATACACAGACTTTTCTGGATTCTACTATGTCTTCTAGATGATCTAAAATATGTTTATACTGATTTCTTAAAAAAAATTTTTTTTAAATCCCTAGTGGAAACCCGATCCCTTCTTCCTTCATCCCCCATTAAGATAGCAGGCAGAAGCTAAGAAATGCAGACTTATACCGCACAGCCAGTAGAATCATTTCAAAATCATATGTAATGTTCCCTGTGTTGGCATGTTGGCCTTGGAGGGCAGGTAAGTAGATGTCTAGAAACAAGAACAGCATGCAAAAGTAAGCCATTTATTGTCTTTGGTTAGAATCCACTTCATTCACATTTTCCTGGAGTTATGGGGATTGGAACCCTGGAATCCTGTGTGTTGAAGCTATGTCCTAGAATTAGGATCTCTTCTCAAAAGAATGAACAAAAATAGGTCTTCAATGAAAAGGGTGAGGGAATAGAGGTGTGTAAGAAAGATACCAGGAAAAGAGAAACACAGATGACCCTCTGAGGTGTATGGCAAGAATCTTGAGGATTTAAAGGTTTAATAATAAATTGCCCTAGACTGTTTTATAATAGCCAGTGCAGCCTAATTCATTAATAAACCTTTTTCTTTTTTTTTTTTCTTTAGATTTATTTTTATTTGAGAGATAGGGTTAGAAAGAGAAAGAAAGACAGAGAGATCTTCCATCAACTGCTTCACTCCCCAAATGGCTGCATAGCTGGAGCTGGGCCAATCCGAAGGCAGGAAGCAGGAGCTTCTTCTGGATCTTCCACATGAGTGCAAGGGCTCAAGGAATTGAGCCATCTCCCACTGCTTTCCTAGGCCTGTTAGCAGTGAGCTGAAGCAGAAGTGGAGCATGGGTGGAGTGTCGGGGAGCATGGAAGGGAGGCCCAAACTGGTGCCCATATGGGATGCTAGCATTGCATTGAGTGGCTTAATATGTTTTGCCACAATACCAGCCCTGGTAAATAAACTGGTTCTATTAGGTAGGGAAGGAAATGAGTAATGATGTTGTGATTATTTTTAGATTTTATTTATTTGAAAAAGTGACAGAAGAGGAGATAGAGAGGGAGAAGTAGATAGACCTTTTATCTTCTGGTTCAGTCCTTAAATGATTGCAGCAGGATTAATCCAGCCTTAAGCCAAGAGCCAGGAACTCCTGTCCTCTGAGTGTTGCACATGAATGATAGAGGCCCAAGTACTTGGACCATCTTCTGCTATTCCAGGCACATTAGCAGGGAGATTAGAAGTACAGCAGCTGAGATTCAAATGCTTGCTCCAAAATGGAATGCCAGCATTACAATAGGCTGCCTAACCTCCTGCCCACAATACCAACTCCAAGTGCTAATATTTTCAAACAAGGACCACTGTTCAGGGTCAGAGCATTACATTTTCAGCATTGGTGTATGCTACACACTTCAAAGATGAAAAAACAGAGCTAAAACAAAAAAAGTGTTGCAAAATAAATTGAACATTAAATGGAAGACAAGAAGACGTGTATATTCTGCAAATCAGAAACTGTTAGATATGAAGGGAGGATCTAGTTTAAGCATTGCTGCAAATGTTTATGCCTCTATTTTGTCTTTTCTCATAATTCTTTTTGAAAACACCACTATAATGTAAATATAAATGTTAGGGATTATTTTAGGTCTGAATAAATGGGAAATTTATGCCTCCACGTAGTTCTCTGATTTGTCCTCTTCTCTGTCTGCATTGACCTAACTTTAGTTTAGACCTTTATATCACAGAATTTTAAAACAACCTCCTACCTCTAACTGATGCCTTTTCAATATTATATCCTTTCAGTCTATCCTCCTTGTTGCTATCAAAGTTATCTTTCTTAAAAGCACATATGATACTATTACTCCTATTTAAAATTGTTTTGATTCTTCTTTAGGAATGTTTGGTATAATGTGAAATGTTGATCCTGCATCCTGACTTATGCTTATCCAGTGTAATTATCAATTGTTTGCCATTTTACTCTTAGAAGTGTCACAGCCTGGAAGATCAACAATTCAGACACTCTGTTCTTGATCTTTTCCTTTGCAGAAAAACTGTCAATTTTATTCTTTCTGATTTTGACCTTCCCTGATTTACCTAGTCTCATTTCTAAAATTCATGTATTGGACAATTAATTTAAAAGTATACTGCCCAGTTATTGTAGATAAGGTATTTCTAATATGGTTGTAATGTGGAAGGGTATATGAGTGTTTATCTGTATTTGAATAACTCATTCTGCTACTCTTTTTCAAGACCCCTTATCTGTTTAAAAAATTATTTGAAACATTTATTTTTATTTTAAAGGCAGGTTTACAGAGAGAAGGAGAGATGGAGATGTCTTCCATCTCCTAATTCACTCTCCAAATGACCACATCAGCTAGAGCTGAATGAGCCGACCTGAAAACAGTACCCAGGAGCTTCCTCCAAGTTTTTGACATATGTAGTACTTTAATACTCAGTGGTTTTGTGTCTGTGGGTTTCTGGGATATTTCCTAGTGATCACTATCCACAAAAATCAGTTTTTGCATTCATGATGTTTTTAGAATACTGTCAACATGGTTCAGTTGACAGTATTCTAAATAGAAATATGCCCAGCTTACTAACAGCATATACAGAAATTGAGTAGTGAGATTGTTTTGGCTCTCAAATAAGTACTGTCAAATTGAACAAGTTATTCTCTGTGCTAAACCCTAAAACTTTCTATATGCTTTCTTCCTTTTAAGACTTTATTCATAATCTTAACTTTTTCTCCCATCTTTAAATATAAGATTTTTCTGAACTGATAAACTTACCTACTGTTACTCGACATCTTACCTGAAATGCCTTCAGAGAGACCCAGAAGGCACAATATAAAAACTGTCATTAAACCTTTATTATATTCCTACCTTTTCTGGTCTTCCTCGTTTTATATTATTATTCAGCTCTCCCTTCAACACTGTACTAATCCATTATTAAATATCTCTTGTAGATAGTAGTATGTTCTCTACAGATATTTCTGCCCATATCTTCTTCTTGGTGCTAGAATAATCACTTCTCTTTTTCTAATTTCTATTTTCCTATGTGATTGACTTCTTCACTTTTCTATTTATACACCTGTGTGTTCCAGTTTCTTTGCCGGAAACTATACACATTAAAATCCAGTTTCCAAAGCCAACACTGTGGCACCGGGCATTAGGCAGCTACCTAAGACACCAACATCCCATATGGAAGCTGGTTTCAGTACTAACTGCTCCACTTCCCATGCAGCTTTCTGCTAGTACACCTAGGAAAAATCTCAATTCCTTGGGGTTCTGCCACTCACAAGGAAGACCTGGATGGAATTCCAGGCTCCTGGCATTGGCCTGGCCCACCGCTGGCTGTTGGAGCCACTTGTGCATGAAATTTATACGTGAAACTGGTTAAAAGCTCACTCTTGGTCTCTCTGTTTGTGCTCTCTATGTCTCTGGCTTTGTCTTTCCCTCTTATCTCTGCAACTCTGCCTTTAAGTAAATAAATCTTTTTTAAAATTTCAAGTGTTAAGGTGGATAATCATTTGGGAATTGATTAATGTTAAGAAAGGAGCAATACTGAGTCATGAGTTTAAATATTGCATGTGAAAGAAAAAACAAAAAAAGGTTGCATGTGTAGGGGCAGTGGATGACATTGGGGCAGAAGACAGGACAGCATCTGTTATTAATTTATCAATTCTTTATAGCCTTTGTCTTCTGTGTAACAAGTGCTGTGCTGAGTACTGTAATGAATACAAAAGGAAATAAATTATGTAGTCTGTTCTTGAAAACTTACAGTTGAGTAGCTCTATTGAAGCAAGTATGGAATAATGTCAGGTACTGTATGGGTAGAGCCCAATGCATATACTTGATTGTGTACTGTGAGTTTTCAAAGGCATTCCATAAGATACATGTGGTATAAGGCATGCCATTAGCAAAAGAGGTGGAGGAAAAAGGAAATCTGTTTCAAGATAATAGAAATATAGGCTATTCAAGGAGAATTAGGATTTGCTTAAGTGTAGAAAAGATTAATAATTGTTGAAACATATAGGTGTGTATCTCTCAAGAAGGGAATAGGTGTGGATGAAAAGGAAATATTTCTGTATTCTTGGAAGACCAAACTCACTGCAGTAGCTATTTTGTGAACAGTGAAAAATTAAAATGGGTAAACGTACATTTGATAAATCACAAACAGAATTAGAGATAGGTGTTTTCAGTGCACAAAAAGTGAAATCAAAGCAAACAAGTAGTCCTTAGAAAGTTTGTAGAAAATAAACATAATAAAAATTTATGCATGATTTTCAGAGTTCATTTGCACTGAAATAAACTTCTCTTAATTCCTTTTTCCATGAACACTTTAAGGTGTTCTTTTGTATAATTTTCTTACAATAAACTTCAGGAAGTTTATTTAGTACACTCAAAGTTCACTAAATATTACATCTCTCATGGCTAACGAATGGGTTTGATGTTTCTTATACCCAGCCTTGTTTGCCTGTGCCTGAATTTAGGAAATGGTGTCTTAAAAGGCCAGAGAAAACCTTTCAGTAGGTTTTGAGCTGTATTCAGTTCACATATTCTACATTGTTAGGTGCTAACTTGAAGACTCCTGAGCTTTAAAAAGTTGACTTAACCTCTGCTAATTTTTAGGGTGAATTCATTTACCTTGAGTGTTCAGTGTATGATTAGATTAATGTTTAAGAGCACCACCAAAGAATGTTTTAATGAGTAATATAGATTAATTATTGAATCATGGTGCTTTGGTAGACTCAGTATCTTATCTGGCCAACATATTCAGCTATTCAACAGAGCCCTGGCATTGTCTCACTTTTAACCCTGTATTGGCGTTATAAGCTGCAAATAATTTTAAATAATAACTAGATAACCTGAATGCTAATATTGAGTGAGGGTAGTCTTTAGAGTAATCATGGGTTGTCATTTATTGTAACTGTGTTTATAGGCCCATTATTTCTTTGGTGTTTTATTAGATCAGTTCCTACTGTATATTTAAAAAAAAAAATGGACATTTTTATGTTGCCCTAGTTGGCTGCCTAGTAGAGTATAGTCGCTGTGAGCCAGTGCTGTGAGATGCATGATGGTTTATAAGTGTCTGTTATAAAGGGCGTGAGCTTCAGTCATAACAGCTAGATCCAGGTTGCAATTTGATGGTCAAAATTTATTTTAGGCTATGCTAGAGAGAAAATTGCTCTTTACTTTTGTTTTCTACATGCAAGTTTGTTTTAAATAATTTGTCGGTTAAGGATTTGGTGGTGTTTGTTCAATACCCCAGAGTCTTTCTTTTTGAAAAAATGAATTACCTATTAGTTTCTTCTATGACCTAGTATTTGTGATGATAGTCGTGACTCATTTCAATTTAAGAAAATGAGTTGCTGCATAGGTGAGGTAGTATTTGAATCGCTTTAAAAGTTCATGTCAGTGTTTTGGCTCTTTTACGTTTTTCCTTTTCCTTTTTTCTTTTGTTCGTTTTCTTTTTCCTTTTTTTTTTATTTTTGTTTTGTTCTGTTTTGTTTGATTTGTTTTATTTTTCTTATTTGCTTAGTTTGTAAAGGGATGTTTTGGGCGCTCCTTGGCCCTGCTGCATACTTGGCTGGTCTATTTAGTCTGCGCACTAATCGTTAGTTGGCCCAGTCAAGTCTGACTTGATGCTCTCAGTTTTTTCAGTCTGGTTTTCTATTTTTGTCTACCTGGTTATGTTTTGAGATTTTTATTCTGATGGGCCGGATTTTAATCCGTGTACTAAATTTTAGTCTGCAGACTAAAAGTAATCCGCGGATTATTTATTTTTGCAAAATATTTAATTCCCCCACTGGAAACTATCCTAAAAGAATGTTAAATTTTTGTAGAATAGCCAAGGGAGTTCACAGCTACTGGTGAGTTCTGCCATTTTTTGTTCTCAATACCTAGACATAATAGACCCTACCACCTCCCTTGTATAATTGGCTCCGTTGTGCCTAGGTGTTGGTATCTATCACTATGCATGTCACCTGTAACTGTGACTGTCCCTTAGTTGTATTGTTTATTGTATATACTTTTGTTTAGCTTTTGGTGGGTGAATTGGGTATATTTACAGATGGAACTGTGTTGAATTTGTAGTACTCAAAAATGTAGAATTTTATTTTCAGTTTTTCAAAAAAGGAAAGAATGTTCTATATTTATTTTCCATAAGTAATGGGTGCAAGGGTATGAAGAGGCAATGCCTACACTAGAAAAAGTAAGTTTATACCCGCACTCCTGGGGTGATATGTCAATTTCCTGAAGAGTTCTAAGAAAAAGAGAATGTCAGCAATTAAACATCTTTTAGCAGGGAAGTCAATCCAAAATGGAGAATAATCCGCGGTGGCCTCATCCTTCTTAGCTCACACAAATTGAAAATATCTGGCTTGAAATCTATAGTAATATAAATTACTTTCCTCTCATTAGTAATTTAGCCAAAAAAAAATGTTTATGCTGTATAACTGGAACACATTAACTGAAAAATTAAGATTGGGAATTTAAATTTTCAAAAGCAGGCAAATGTGCCCCCTCCCAGCCATATCTATGGATAAGGAATCCAGGTCATAGAAGACCACTTTACTTTGGGAACTTTACTTCTAGATTTCATTTTGATTTTAACTTTTTTTGATTTTGTATTTTTTTAATAAATGCACTGGCATTGGAACATAATAAGTTAAAATTAAAATGTTTCTTTACTGTGCCTCACCATTGCGCAATCAAACATTTTTTGACATACATGTGGTGAAATAATTTTTAAAACTTGGACTTGCTACTGTGGAGACTGATGTTTAAAGTTTATAACTGTATAAACATTTCTATGTCCCCCACACCATGGATTTCTTATAACATTGGATATATTTTTCCTTGCTGGACTATTCTCTTTTGGATTGACTTCCCCTGTTTGGATTATTTCACTGCATTATCATCTTTAGGATTCGTCAGGAACAGGACATTTCACCTCAGGAGTACGGGTATGTACTTAATTTTTTCTTTCCCAAAATTTCAGGGCAGGTCTGTAAAAACACAGGGTAAAACAGGCAATTGTTTATTCTTCAAATATGCTAATACCTCTTAGTACAGTGATTTGTTTTCATTCATTTTATGGTACAGGCTTTACTTATGGTGTATTTAGATTGTCTTTTAGATGATTCATTCATGAACATCTAGACTGAAGTTTAGGAATTGTAGGGTTTTTAAATTATTCTTACCAGAATAAATATTAATGAGGATTCAAGAAACCATAGATTGGGTCTTAAAGCAGTTTCAATGAGTAAGGAATGATGTGGCAGCCAAAACTTTTTAAAAGCCAAATTTCAGTAGTTCTTGGTTTCCTTTTCTTAAGACATAAAGTTAATTCAGAAGAGTTAGTTTCTGCTTTTGCCTGTTATTTTCTAAGTTGTATTCTACCACAGCTTGTATTATGGTCAGAAATCTAAACTCTGGGAGATACTGGGTTTTGACCCCACGTAATTTTCCACTTAACCTTTGTCCACAGAATACTGAACCAAGGCTTTTCTCATCGAGAATGTCTCAAAGGGTTTAAAGTAACAGCGGATACTTTTTGTAAAGGCAGGTTAAATCTTGATTTTTTTTTTAAATGTAGGCTCTTGGAATGATTTTTTTCTTTATTGTTTTTAACTGATTCCATGAGTTAAGATCTGACAAGATAAGCTAATAATATGTCTTCGTACCAATATGGATGGTCACTTACAGCTAGAAAAACACCAAAAAGATATAGATAGATGACTTTTTCAACAAAAATAATCAGAAGTAACCTTACAACACTGGCTTATTAATATCTTTAACACAAAATCTGTATTAATATAACAGGAAATTTTTAATTTTAAAATAATCATGCTACTCCACATTTGAATGTTAGCAAGACTATTTTTATTTTTGGTACTACTTCTAATTCTGCTTATGTGATACCCATATTGGTGCAAAAGCATTTTTGCTAGCTAACAGAATAAATTCACATTAAATAGATGCAAACTGCCCTAAGGAATAAAATATACATTAGTGATTAATATTTTTTTGACAAAATTTCTGATTTTTTTCATTGGTCATATTCTTTTTGCCTTCTGGATTTGATTGTGGACCTTGGGAGCAAGAAAGGGGGAAATAACCAAAAATAGAAAAAGAGCTAAATAATTCAAGTAGTATAACAACTTTAAGATTGCTTGACTAAGGCAAATCACAGTACTTAAAAATATAGAAAGCAGATTTTGATCTTACAATGGCTTTCTAACGTACATTGAGGCCTTCTAAGGTTCTGAATAAATTCCCAAAATGCTACTCCATTCAGTTTCAGATGCATCTTTCATGATAATAGAATATATATAAAAAGCAAAATCAAATAAAAAGCATTTTCACTATAGAAAGTGCTTATTCATATGCTCTTGAAGCTCTAATGAACTCTGTGTTTGTAACTAGTTCTGTCTTCAGTCAGCTTAAGTAGCTAGTCAGATGTTACATCACCATTCTCACTAAAAAACCTTACTCTCCCAGGCTCCACCATGCCTTGTCATAATCTGCATGTTCTTTCCTTGCTTATGAGTCTGTTTCCCTCATTTCCTTATTTATATTTGCTTCTCTTTATGTGTCTGTCTATCCCATCACCACAGCTTTTATTTAGTTATATGTTCTTCCTATCAGGGGAGTATATATTTCCTTTTTATTTAGCTTTCAAAGACTTTCTGTTGATCTGTCTTCGTTGATTTCTGTTTCTTTTCCTTCTGATTCTGTTCTTTAGCCATAATTTAGAATGAAGTATATTTCATGGTTTTATATATTGATAAATATTAACTCTTAGATGAGTACAAAGCTATGTATTTCTTTAAAACTTTTAATTATTTTTTTATTTTAAAAATACCCTTCAGTTGACTTTTTCTGTGACTTAAAAGGCTGTTAATGGAAAATATCTTTTTTTTCTCCCTGATTTAAAACTCTAGTGTTGTCATTCCAATGAAAATAATCTGGCCACATCTGTGATATTAGTTACTTCAGAAAACAATGTCAGACATTTTGTCAAGTTCTAGATAGTCAAAATTTTTTTTCAAATGAAAATAGGCTCTGTTTTTTGAGAAGAAAACACTACCTTATTAGCATTTATTGACCTAGGATGATAGTTTTTCTCTTTTTTTTCCCTCCGATTGCCAAATTTGAATAGTGCCATCCATTATCAATAATTGCTCTATTAAAAACATCACAAAAGAGGCAATATTTTGTTACCATAGCTGTCAACACTTAGGAAAACCTTTTGTACTCTTGTAATTGTGCTTGCTTCTGGAACCCAGCCTTCTCATATGCCTGTACTTTTATATGCATGTTTGATTGTTATGATTAGATTATCTAGAATATTCACTGAGCTTTTCTCATATAGTCTTAACTAGCAGCTCACCCCAGTGTGGTGAGTCATGAGCAATTTCCTCTTTTCATTCTGTAAGGTTCCTTTCCCAAATGTAACCATGTTTTCACACATGGTGGGAGTTAACTGAGTACTCAGAGTTACTTACATTCTTAAAATAAAACATTAATTGTTCTTTTCTTTATTTCGTACTACAGGTCTTCCGACCCCGAACTCCACCAGAGGCGATTGCACTGTGTAGCCGTCTGCTGGAGTATACGCCAACTGCTCGATTGACACCACTGGAAGCTTGTGCACATTCATTTTTTGATGAATTACGGGACCCAAATGTCAAACTACCAAATGGGCGAGACACACCTGCACTCTTCAACTTCACCACTCAAGGTAATTCCAGACCATTCTGGCACCATTTCTCTGTAAAAGTTATTCACTAGGTACAAAATGACATTGTCTTAGTTATAATCTATAGAGAACAATGATGAACATATTAAGTATTTATGGAGGTAGGAAACTTCCTGTTTACATGGAAATTAGTAGAAGGTAAGATTTTTCAAATAGGCATGGTTTCTCTGGCTTTTGATAGATTATGAAAGTTGGCACATGAGAAGTTGATTCTACTGAGTAGTGTTTACCACTAAGAAGACTAATTTACATTTTAACTCCAGAGTTTTAATTTAATTATTTAATTTGATTTGAAAGGCAGAGAAAGAGAAATGCCTTCCATCTTCTGGTGCATTTCCCCGTTAACCACACAACTTTGGCTAGGCTGGGCTGAGCCCAATAGCTGAGAACTCGATCCAGATCCCCCATGTGGGCAGCAGGTACCCAGGTAATTGGGTCATTATCTGACTTCACAGGTGTGTTTAGCCAGACTCAAACTGTGAGCTCCAATACAGGACATGGATGGACCTAACCATGGCACCAAACTTCTGCCTTTGTATCAAAATTTTTAAAAGCTAAGAAAATAGTGGTGGCTTTGAATAAATTCAATTACCTTATAAACAGGAGATAAACTATAAACATTTCAAAGTATTATACATGGCACATATACAAAGAACTGTCTTCCTTTGGTACTTAATACCATTACTACTGCTAAGAAAACATTGAAAGAAAAAGGGAGTTTTGTATTGTCATTAATGCTTTCTGAAAGTAATAGAGATACTCATTGTTTCCTCACAAATTTTTCTGTTTCATTTCCTTTCACCGTAAGACCAGAGGTGATTGATTGATTCAGTCACAGTGGCTAGTGACGATGTGATTGCCTTCTTTTTAAAAATTTATTTTATTCCATTTTTTATTAGAAAGTCAGATATACAGAAAGAAGGAGAGACAGAGAGGAAGATCTGTCCAATGGCGGCCGCAATGGCTGGAGCTACACCAATCTGAAGTCAGAAACCCGGATCCTCTCCTGGGTCTCCCACACAGACACAGGATCCCAAGGCTTTAGGCCATCCTTGACTGCTTTCCCAAGCCACAAGCAGGGGGCTAAAAGGGAAGTGGGGCCACTGGGATTAGATCCAGCACCCATATGGGATCCTGGCCCATGCAATGCAAGGATTTTAGCCAATAGGCTACCATCCCAGGGTCCACGATTGCCTTCTTTTTTTTTAAAGATTTATTTGTTTTATTACAAAGTCAGATATACAGAGAAGAGGAGAGACAGAGAGGAAGATCTTCCATCCGATGATTCACTTCCCAAGTGAGCCGCAACGGACAGTACTGCCCTGTCCGAAGCCGGGAACCAGGAACCTCTTCTGGGTCTCTCATGCGGGTGCAGGGTCCCAAAGTATTGGGCCATCCTCGACTAATTTCCCAGGCCACAGGCAGGGAGCTGGATGGGAACTGGAGCTGCCGGGATTAGAACTGGTACCCATATGGGATCCTGGCGCATTCAGGGTGAGGACTTAAGCTGCTAGGTCACGTCGCCAGGCCCATGATTGCCTTCTTAAAGATGTTTTTTATGGAAGACAAAGATCTTCCATCTGCTAGTTCTCCTCAGATGGCCACAACAGCAGGGACTGAGCAGATACAGAGCCCGGAGCCTCTTCCAGGACTCCCACGTGGGTGGTAGGGTCCCAATGCATTCAGACATTCTCTGCTACTTTCCAGGGCATAACCAGGGAGCTGAATAGGAAGTGGCGCATCTGGGACACAAACTGGCACCTGTATGTGATGCTGGTACTGCAAGGCAGAGATTTAGGCAGTTGAGCCACCGTGCTGCCCAGATTGCCTTATTAAATTGACCAATTAAAAAAGTATACAATTCAGGAAAGATGAAACAAAGATTCGATGCATTGGTGGGTTAGTAAATTTAGACTAGGAAATATAGACAGAAAATGGAAAACTAGAGCCAAGAAAGCAATAAATTTCCTTTAATCCAAAGCAAATGTTTTCCCCTATTTAAAATTTTCTTAAGTGGGAAGTTGAACACATGAATAATTTATGTGAACGACTGAGTTGATGATAAACTTGAATGACTTAGTTGACTAATATACCTTATTATCAGTATCATGTAACCATTAGCAGTGCTAATGTAAACCACATTTTCAAAAGGTCCAGGAGCCTGAGCTGTGGTATATCAGGCAGAGCCACCATCTGCAGTGCCAACATCCCATATGGGCACTGGTTTGAGTCCCAGATGCTACACATCTGATCCAGCTCCCTGCTAATATGCCTGGGGAAGCACAGAGGATGACGCAAAGCTTTGGGCCGCTGTACCAACAAGGGGCACTTGAATGAAGCTTCTGGCTCCTGGCTTCAGCCTGGCCCAATCCTGGCTGTTGGGGCCATTTAGGGAGTGAACTAACAGATGGAAAAATCACTCTCTCTTTGTGTCTCCCTCTTTGTAACTTTGCCTTTCAAATAAATAAATAAATAAGACTTAAAAAATTCCATATAGCTTGTTCCATTAATTCTGACTTTTTTAGATGACCAGAAACTTTTTGGAATGTTGTTATGAGTAGTATTTACCCAATTGTAAGAAAATTCGTTGATGATAGGGAAGATTTATACAGAAAAGCACAATGATTACCGGTGGAAAAGGAAAGAATTAAGGTACTCCTTGATAACTGTATAAAAATACCTCTTGACTATATCATGTAGCAAGGGGTAAACATATTCTTCTACCACGTGGCAAAATTTCCAATGTTAGTAATAAATTCCAGAGGTGTTTTATTTGCTTTTAATACAAAAACCTTAGTAACCAACACAACTGCAAATTGAATTTAGTGATGAATCCGAAAAAAAAAATTTTTTTCGGTTAACGTAACAGCTTGTTTTTAAAGTATTCCTTTCTGTGTTTGAAAATGTTTAAGAGAAGGCTGAATAGTGCCAGAAATGAACCCAATTTGGCAGGTATTTGTTTTTTTGTTTTGTTTTGAGATTTATTTATTTATTCAAGAAGAGTTATGGAGAGGGATAGGTAGAAAGAGCTCTTCCATCCACTGGTTCTGTCCCTAAGTGGCTACAATCAGATCAAAGCCAAGAGCTTCCTCTGGGTCCTTTACATGTATGCCAGGGGCCCATGCACTTGAGCCATCTGTTACTTTTCCCAGGTCACTAGCAGAATGCTAGATCAGAAGAGAAACAGTCAGGACACCTGTCACAGGAATAGGAAGTGGTAGGCATTACAGGCGATAGCTTTACCTGCTCTGCTATAAACCCACCCTCAAATTTAGCAAGATTATACTACAAACCTCTGTCAAGGACTTTCAGAGCAAAAAGCCCGTGACTCCATGTTATATACTATAGGTTCTTCCAACAAAATAAACTTACTTTAATTCCTAGTGCTCTGATTTTAATTAAGGATGATACATGTAAAGTGAGGAAAATGTTGAAAAAAAAAAACACTGGAAGTACAGAGAAAATTAAAATTATTAATTCCAAAATAACCCTGTTAGCATTCAGAATAATCACTTTTTAGCATTTTATAAAATGTAGGGTTTTTAAATTGCCTTTGTAAAAAAAAATTATTTACTTACTTGTTTGAAAGGTAGAGTGCAGAGAGAAAGGCTTCCATCCACGGGTTCACTCCACAAATGGCCAAAGCCAGGAGCCTAAAACTCCATTGGGATCTCCCACACAGGTGGCAAGAGTTCAGACCATCATCTACCGCTCTATTAGCAGGGAGCTGAATCAGTAGAAAAGCTGCAACTTGAACAGGCACTCCGATATGGCCGATATGGGATGCCCATCCCTCAAGCCCACTGTGCTGTAAGCACTGTCTCCATTCCCAAAATCTTTTTTCTGACAAGTACTGATGATCCTGAAAAATAAAATAATGATTCCAGTTTTTTTCTATTAATGTTCTAAATGTATTTCTTGTTATTGGCAATATACTTAAAATTGTATTTTATAATAACATATTGGGAATTTTGCTGTTTTACATCTTAAATGTCATAAAACATTTTTATTCAAATTGTTCATATGTTCCCTTTACAACTATGTTTCTGTAATCGATAGAACTACGTTTTGAACCATGCATCATAATCTCTTAGGTTTACGTTCTTTCATGTTTTGACATGAAGCACTTTCTTTAAAAATTTATGTTGTTTTTTTTTTAATTGAAAAGTCAGATATACAGAGAGAAGGAGAGAGAGAGAGGAAGATCTTCCCTCTGATAATTCGCTCCCTGAGGGGCCACAACGGCAGGTGCTGCACCAGTCTGAAGCCAGGAGTCTGGAGCTTCTTCCAGGTCTCCCACATGGATGCAGGGTCCCAAGGCTTTGGGCCGTCCTTGACTGCTTTCCCAGGCCACAAGCAGGGAACTTGATGGGAAACAGGACCACTGGGATTGGGACCAGCGCCCATATGGGATCCTAGGATCCTGGCACATGCAAGGCGAAGACTTAGCCACTAGGCTACCATGCCAAACAAATGAAGCACTTTCTAAATCTAAGAAAAACACTGAATAAACTGCAGGTACCATTTACATAATAACTTTCATTTTCTCTTGTGTTATTGATATGTTTATTAACCACACAGTATAACTTTACAGGATTGCTTTTCTTTTTTTAAAATATTTATTTATTTTTATTGGAAAGCCAGATTTTACAGAGAGAAAGTTCCTCCATCCGCTGGTTCACTCCCACAAGTGGCCACAACAGCCAGAACTAAGTTGATCTGAATCCAAAGCCAGGAGCCAGGAACCTCTTCCGGGTCTCCCTCATGGGTACAAGGTCCCAAGGTTTTGGGCCATCCTTGACTGCTTTCCTGGGCCACAAATAGGAAGCTAGATGGGAAGTGGAGCAGCTGGGACACCAACTGGTACCCATATGGGATCTTCTCACATGCAAGACAAGTACTTTAGCCACTAGGCTAACCACTCCGGGCCCCACAGGATTGCTTTTTAAAGTAATCTCTAAAAGGCAGCAATACAACACTTC